CATTGTACAGCGGCATTAAGTGCCGTAATGTACACCTCTGCCTACCCCTTCGGGGATAAAAGGCGTGATGTTATGATGATGATAAGATACATAATTATTGTTAAGAATTTATGACTCAAACCGAATTCAAGGAAACGAGAGGCCTAGTAGCAAGGTGGAGCCTACTCTACCTGCGAAATGTGATTTAAAAATTTTGCAACAGCTTTTTGTAAATTAATATAAGTAAGTATAAATAAATATATACGTACTGAGTATCTAAATGTTTCGCTAACTCGACAAACGATAGCTTACCTACCTACCGCATACCTTGACAACTCAATTAGCGGTTACATTGCGCGAAGTGGGTACAAAATTAGATCGTGCTAATTGCTACGAAGTGGAAGGTTTAATAAAAAGCAACTAATTGCATGTGTTAGTGGACCGTCGATCATGTTACGTGGCCATAACACGTACCTACCAGGTATTAGCACTACAGTTCCAGCAGTTGAAGTGATTATTTTCTGTCGAAATTTGTTCGGAACATCAAGCTACAATTCTCCTAATGTAAAAGCCAGTTCAAAGTAGTTTTTCTTCGAATAAACTGCATGGAAGGAGCAGGAGCCATATTTTCTATACATACTGCACTGAACCTCACTATCAGGTGTCGGCCTGGCTTCTCCAGTAATCACGTAGATAAAGGCCCGGGCGCTGTGACGTCAGAGCGGCCGGCCGAGCGCACCAATGACATCGTGAGGCGGTGCTACATGCGCAAGCGCACCGCCCACTTACACCACTGAAGGGAAATCTTGGAAAACTTGCAGTGCTCTCACGCGTAAATTTATACGAAAACGAATTAAAACTTACTAACTACTAAGTATTGGATTGCTTCTTATTTCATTCTTTTTTACCTAAGGCCGTATTAAAAAAGTGAAATGTAAATTCGTTATCAACTTCGATTATGATTTGAAAAACTCACTTTTGGTTTTTAAATAAGTCTAGCAACGAAAATATCAAATTTATTTAGATAAGTAGGTATCTGGCGATGATGTTTACTAGTTCGCGTACAATTTATAAGTTTATTTACTTTAAAGCGCAATATTATAATGAGTAATCGATAAGTAAACAAATACGAGCCCGACGTATCAGCGACCGGCGCGCGCGCCCCTTCTGTCAAACATTTTTATAGTTATGCGCAGAGCATAAGGAACTCTTTATAGTCTATGCGCGCGAGTCGACCGCACGCGCGTTCATCTTGCGTCGATTCAAAAATTCTTCGCGGTATTCGAATTTTTCAAGTTCTCTTTTTTAAACTTAGTGGTGACAATGAGCTGGGAACAGGATCGCGACCGGCCCTGTGACAAGTTAGAAATCAATGAGGCAGTCGGAAAACTGCTAGAGAGTTTCAACTATGACAGCATCGTACCACAGCCAACGAGGTAGGTGCCTAGTGCTTTTAATAAAATAATAAAAAATAACTGTAAGACAATAGTTATTTGGTATGTACTTAATTAAATTAGTGCACGCACTGAAGTACCATTTTTTTATCCTAAAAGACAGTACCTATCATTATTGAAAATTATAAACAATAATCATTATTGTTTGTATTGTTGTTTAAGTACACTTTAGAAAATAATCCTACTAATATTCTAAATGCTAATAAAGGTTGTGAGGATGTGTGTGTACTTGTTACTCTTTCATGCAAAAACTACTGATCGGATTTAAATCAAATTTGAAACAGAAGTAAATTATGGTCACATAGACTATATTTCTCCCACGACCAAAACCGCAGCAGAAGCTAGTATTTAATAGTTGTAATATTAAATATTATTATCCAAAGTAGTAAATATGCGTAGGTACTTTCTACCTACTAGGTAATCTAGAATCGTAGACTTTTTGCTTGCAGAAAGAATCTCTCTAGCAAATCTCTTATAAAATAAAACTTCTACTCGAAGCCTATAATAAGTTTTTTTAGTTTCTGTATATGTCCGTTCAGCTAATCCCTCAATGTTAAAGTGTAGTGATGTTCCATATCACTAGTTAGTTAACTACTTACTTAATTAAACTGTCAAACACCAAGCGGTCACCGGTGACCGCAACCTATTGTTCTATAATTGTGTCTATAATGCCGGTACTCGACGAGTTAATACTAAAAAAACCATTTATCTACTTATTACTACTCTCAGTTTTTACCTCCATTAGTTTCATTCTTTCATAAAGATTTTTTCATCACTCTTTGACTTGATGTAACGTAAAATTATTTTTTTCCTTTTTGACAAAACTTTTACCTTTATCCATTTTAGCCATGATGGATTGCTTTGTCTTAGAACTTAATTAAGCTGTTAATTTCTAAACCATGTCCAATCAATAAATCAGTACCTAGATCTCCTTTTTACGTTTTCTCCGGAGTTTAAATATGTCACATACCTACTCATAATACTCATACCTAATACTCATTTTTTGTATAGAAAATCATGCTTTTAATACGAAATGCACTAATGAAAACTTAAATGATATTTTGGTTTTTCTTATTTTTACACTACGTCCTATGTTTTTTTTTTCTAAAGCAAACCAAATCCTTTCCTCTATTTCCCAAGGGAGAGACAGCACAGCACCTTTCTCTGGCAAAAATTGACCTTTTCAAGCATATGGCAAACCCCTCTTATGTAAAAACGGCTCATAGTGCAGTAGTAGAACCTATAACTTGCCCCATTAAAAAAAACCCACATTAATTTTGTCACAGACATTAATAACATTACAGTCGTATTTCAGGTAATGAAATTGGCACTGATTATGATACTAAACTTTTAAGGACTTGCTTAATAATTCTGCATTTACGATACGATAGACGCAATTACGATAGACTTATCTAATAATTAAAAGTTCAACGAATTCTCAACTGTCTTAAACGTTTTTTCACTTTAGTTTCGATTAAACACCCTTAAACATATCTTTTGTAATTCCTAATTTAAGATTATATACTAATATTTTAGTCTTATTACAAAACGAGTAAAATACTGTAACTGTACTGTACTGTAGTCGTGGTGGCCGGGAGATTTAAGAAGGCCCGCTTCTCATGCACGAGAGTTCGGGTTCGAAACCTATCAACGGCAAGTACCAATATGACTTTTTCCGAGTTATATGTACTTTCTAAGATTATCTAGACACCACTGACAAACGGTGAAGGAAAACAGCGTGACGAAACGTGGGCCCTATAATTTCTAATTATAAGTTTGATATCGCCAACCCGCATTGAGCAAGCGGGGTGATTAATGCTCAAACCTTCTCCGTGTGAGAAGAGGCTTTGCTTAGCAGTGGGCATTTATAGGTTGTTGATGATGAGAATACTGTAAAAATACTTCAATACTGAAAAAAAATCCACGTGATATTCCCAGTTATTTTCCTGAGATGAAGGTTACCTTCGCACAAATACCTATTGGTTACAGCGATACAAATAATTAAAGAACAATAAATTCACTTTAAAAGCTCATTTGTTTATCGTATAATATTTATTGCTGAAGTGACCCCATATAAGATGAATTATTCCGTAATTAGTTATATATAAGTACCTAAATAGAGGAACTATCTAGCTAATGTTGACCCTGGGTCAATGGGGCGGTGTACATGAAACCGACACGCGATTACCGCCTCTAATTGAATAGGCACTATGTTATCTGGTCCTTGTTTATTAAATTCCTATCAACCGCGTCGGCTCTTTTTATCGGCCTCTTTTTGGAACTTCAAGACCACATTCACTTACTAAGATATCTCTCTTTTTTAGTGACAGATGTACCGACAGTATAATACGCAAAATGTATTAAAAAAAGGATGTTGATAAGTTCTACACTACATTATTACTCTTTATGAAATAGAATAAAATCTGAATTGGTTAGGTAGGTATATGTTTGCCTATTTAACAATATTTTGCCAATAAAAACAAAAGACATTCATACCAAGTTCGTATTTAGCGATTGGGCAACTGTCGGTATTCGTAAGAGTAGGGACAAACTTTTTGAGCTTTATGGAATGAAACCATACAACACCAACCTCCAATTTCATCAGTATGTAACATCATATTCAAAAACCTTTAGAATAGTATGCAGAACCGCGAAACGTCTTTATATTAGTAATAAAATAAAAGCAGCTGATGATAAGATAAAAGCTACTTGGAAAGTTATACACAACGAGACTGGTAGGAAACGATTAAGAAATTCAGAATTAAGTTTAAATACTGAAAGGGGACAGATTTCATCCAACGTAGATGTAGCCCAGGAGTTTGAACATTTTTTTGCCAACATTCCTATCAAAACAACCAAAGATTTAGAGTCATCAGCAACACTCTCTGTAACTTTGCTTAAGAATCATATACAATCGTGTCAGCACGACTTTAGTTTTCGATATACGAATCCTCTAGAAATAATAAAAGTTTTTAAAGAGATCAAGATCAAATCAACTGAAGATCTATGGGGACTATCGGTAAAAGTTTGCAAATCACTTATTCAAACTATAGCGCCATACTTGGCTGTGATTTTCAATAAAAGTATAGATGACGGTGTTTTCCCTGACCTAATGAAATATAGTAAAGTTGTCCCATTATTTAAAAGTGGTGACACTAAAGAACCAAACAATTATAGGCCAGTATCTGTTTTGCCGGTTCTCAGCAAAGTATTTGAAAAGTTAATGCTGTCTCGGATGCTTCATCATTTTAATAAACATTCTATCTTTCACCAACAACAATACGGTTTTACTAAAGGTCGTTGTACAACTGACGCCGGTGTCACTTTAATGAAAGAAATATTTGGTGCTTGGGAGGAAGCACAAGATGCTATTGGTGTCTTTTGTGACCTCTCAAAAGCGTTCGATTGCGTTGACCACGAGACACTTTTGCTGAAATTAGATCACTACGGGATCAGAAACACCGCACTCTGTCTAATAAAGTCTTATTTAGAAGATAGGCAATTAAAGGTTCATGTTAATGGTATTAACTCGCAGGGCTCTACGATGAATATGGGCGTTCCACAGGGTTCAATATTGGGTCCCTTTCTCTTTTTAGTCTATATAAATGATTTGCCATTTATATTCAAGAATGAACCAAGAATGGTGCTTTTTGCAGATGATACCTCATTAATTTTTAAAATAGATCGACGTGCTAATAATCTTGACGACGTAAACAGCTCCATTCTTCGAGTGCAAAACTGGTTCACCATTAATAATCTAGCGCTTAATGAGAAAAAAACAAAATGTATTAAATTTAGTTTACCAAACGTCCGAAGTAATGATTGTGATGTTGTTTTAAACGGCCAAAAGTTAGAATTTGTCGACGAGACGGTATTTTTAGGCATTACATTAGACAATAGACTACAATGGGGCCCACATATAAAGGCGCTTTCGGGGAGATTAAGCTCAGCTGCTTTTGCAGTTAGACAGATTAGACAGCTCACGGACGTAGATACGGCAAGGCTTGTCTATTTTAGTTACTTTCACAGCATTATGTCGTACGGCATTTTGTTGTGGGGTCGAGCTGCAGAAATAGAATCAATTTTTATTCTTCAAAAGCGGGCTATCCGAGCAATATATAACTTACGCCGTTGCGAATCGCTAAGAGAATTGTTTAAAACGATAAACATCTTAACGGTGCCCTGTCAATACATATATGAAAATATAATGTATGTAAGAAAGAATAGGCAATTGTTCGAAAAAAGAAGCGATAGACACAATCTTAATACTAGAGGCAAGAATAAGTTAGCTGTACTGCAATTCAGACTGTCCAAGGTACAGAAATCCTTTATGGGGTTAGGTATTAAATGCTATAATAAAATACCAAATAGCATACTAGATCTAAATGAAAGTAAATTTAAAACATATATTAAGCGCGAATTATGTAAACAAGCGTACTACAGGGTGATTGATTATCTTGAGGATAGGAATGCTTGGCAGCGTGTTGGTTCGGCTCCACTGGACAATACTCAAATGTAGTCAGTACCTAGTTCAGATTACGATAATAGGTAATTTAACACTTTGATTCCGATGAAGGCAATCTATTTTTCTTGTGGCATCGAGCATTTCTTTCTTTATTTAAACAAGAGTATATTTTTTATTTTTTTCTTGTATAGAAGCACTATTTTATATGGATTGTCAGTATACATATGTGAGGACCATGTCAGACTTAAGATATTTGTTTTCTCTTGGTTTTTTTTTTTTTTTCTATTTTAGTATGTTCTGTTATTTGTATGTTGCGTCAGGTATGTCTTTACATTATTCTCACATGTGTGTACAATATTGGAATATGTATCAGAGCAATGTAAAACAGACTTTTTTTAAAAAGAGTAACGGATGGAGTTTCTTGCTCGTTCTTCTCCACTCGAATCGACATTTTGGAACGAGCGCCTAGCTTCACTGACGGACAGACTGACAGACTATTATATATCTCATATTTGTT